TATATATGTATATCAATAAGATTAATCCTTCATTTTAGTTTAGTTTTTTTTATTAGTAAACAAATTTTACAAAAACATACATAATATTGATTATAAGATACCGGTACATACAATAGTCCGAAAAAAGTGCACAATAGAACAGACCTTGATATTACAAGGAATACTAAGAAGTGTTAGCTTACTTCCACTTGGGGAGGAGTGAAACATATAACCGCACAATTGCGCAAAAAGAAAAAGAAAAACAAACAAACATTAACCAGGAAGCTACCAGAAAATGAAAACAGTGAATAATTAAAATCATTGTTACAATTGTTACAATTTACATCAACTACATTTTAAAAATATATTAGATGATTGATTTGTAGTTTGTGTCTAGTTAAGAAATCCATTTGTAAACCCGAAAGAATTTTAAGAAGTTCATTTGGGAATAGAAGTTTTATTACCATTAGTTTATTGCTTGTTAGTCTAATTGACATTTTAAATAAACCATTATCGAATGAAGTGACTATCATTAAATGTCACGGACTGCAACCCTTTATCTCTCTTTACCACAGGCAGGCGCGATTGTCAAAATGACATTTACGATCGGTAGGGTTTACACTCATCATTTCTGCAAACCTATCGAAATTGAAATCCCAAAAGGCCATAGAAATATCAATCACCGTCTAACACGCACACATAAATCACGAAAAAGATGTTATACCTTTGCCTGATTTCTGAGACAACCTCTCCACAGGTTGATTCTATTTGCATTTTTGGGGGTATATTAGGCCTAGCTAGTAGAGTACAGTATTTCACGTAAACATTCAGCCACCACGCTCTCTCACATTTACGAACGATCAAATATAATACAGTAATTATATTTGATTGTTGTTGCCTCTTGCCACAGCTTTTGTTGTCCTGCCAAAAAGGTAAGTTGCAGATTGTAATAAAGTAGAATAATTATCATTTTTTTGCTTTATTGTAATCTGTAGCTTATTTTTTAAACCATGAATCTTTAATTTTTATAGATAAATTTATTATCTTTTTCATTGTTTTTACAGGTTAGCGGTTTAGGAAAAAATCCCTCTGGTGTGCTCGACACACCGCTAAACCTGTCTTTTTGTACTTCATTGTTTTGTCTTTTATAATTTGTGTCGAATGTTTTTTGTCTGTGTCAAATTTATAAAATAAGTAAATTAATAGATTTACACCACAATCATTGTTGTAGAGTTGTAAGACATTCTTGCAGGTCGTGTTAATTCGTGTCATTATATTTTTGTCGTCGAACTCTCCATATTCTATAATCATGAAAATGATAAAGAAAACGTGTAAAAGACACGGTCGTCGTTAACTTATAGTCATAAATATTTCTTTAAAGCACTAGATCGTCTGCTATAAGTGTCCAAGTGATATAACGCATTGTGCCGATCGTTAAGTATTAGGCTTTGTCCATTTCAACATCCAGAAGGTATTTAGAAGATCATTGACCGGTGACGGGCTAAGAATCACGTAAATTAGATAGACCAACTAACGGTATTAGAAATCAAGCGGCAGTAAATTAGAACTAAACCACTCTACGATTTTATAGTCCTAATTATTTCCAATCTAACGGGTTGACAATCTCCAAAACACTGACTTTAAAACCAAAATTTTCTCAGATTCTTGAGAGTTTGGTACTGTGCTGTTGCTTACAACAATCACCTTTTAAGTCAACACTTGATGATGATGATGATCATCATCATCATCACCGCCACTGCTGTCACCATCATCATCATAATCATATTCATCATCATAATCACAATTATAATCATCATCGTCGTCGTCACCACCATCACCACCATAATAATTATCAATTACATTTGATTTTAATATTGTTACTTTTAACTTAAATTATTACGGTATACCTTCGTTATTTTTTGTGTATGCCTTTCAGATTTATGTGATTTTAGTTTAAATAAATAACCTTTAACCTTTTTTAACCTTTAGTTGTGATTTATAATATAATTGTATTAGGTAAATGTTTTTATAAAATCGATATTTTGAAAATATGGAGTAATTTTTACCATAATTTAATTTAATCAGGAATATTTACACAAAACAGCCGGATGAATTCAGGGCCGTAGCGTGACTGAATTTGTGGAAGGTTCGTTTCAGTGGAAAGTGGACCCTTATCTCCGATACTCTGGAGAACATTGTGAATATATCTACGAATATAAATTTTTCGTTTTTAAATGCTGACCTTCTTCAGTTTTTGGGCGGTTCGTCGTAACCCCCTTAACCTCCCCCACCCCCACGCTACGGGCGTGTGAATATATTCTGGAGTGAAAATGAACCTTTGTTGTTAAGATGCTTACAATCAAATCCAATGGCCCTTGGTTCAATTCTTTTGACGGCAGGATTTTTCTCACGACTAAACCAATCCACTCCTTAAAACGTATGATACCGTAGTTTTTTTTTTTTTTTTTTTTTTTTTTTTTTTTTTTTTTTATAAAGCATAGGCCTATTGGGTCCCTGTAGGAAAACAGTAGATTTTTCCAGTATAGAAAAAGATATTTTTTTTATATTACTACTTCTACAAATTTTTCATTCATGTTGCCATACACATACGTTGATTACTTTAATAGTGTAATGGCTTCAATATGTGTTTTGATTGTGCTACAATGTATAAGTTTTCGTCCGAAACATCAAAAGCGTACCAATCGTATTTTGTATTACATGATTTTAGAAATTAGAAATGCTCTAAGGGTGTTAAACGCTGATATACAACCTCCCGCGGCAGATATTTTATTAACGATGTGATTATGTGCCAACATATCTGATGTAAAATGTACACATAGTCTGGCACTCCAGGGGCTCACTAGCGATATTATTGAGATGCGTTTAACAGATCTGATTTTAACATCCGATATTCAAACATCAATGCCGATCCACCTAAAGCTAACATAACATAAAGCTAAAATAACATTGCTAAAATGTGAAACTCGCCTAACGTTTTTAAATAATTTGTTGGCTTGTATCCAGTATCAACTTAAATATATTGTAATATGGTTTACTACGGCTCATATAGATACATGTCTTCTTTTGATATTTGATTCATTTATATATTTGATTCATTAAATGAACAGATAATGTTTGAATAAACTTGGTAGACTGCATTCTTAGGTATCTAAATAGCAACTTATGGTATATTATTGAACTAAGCTCAGTGAGTTTTATACTGAGACATGTATCTCTCATATTTCATAACACTTTACTTTTTATATGTTTTTTTAAATTAAAACATTTGAAAGTACGTAATTTATCGCAACAAAATTCATTCTAATTTCAAATTAGAAGTCTTAAAATGAGCCTTGTTCTTGAAAAAAATATTGAAATAAAATGTGTATAATATGATAGATAATATAATAATAATAATAATAATAATAATAATAATGAATATTTATGTTCAAAAATGAAGACTATTATTATTACCGTATATTTCAGGTAAATCAACCTGTTCTAGGAATCGAAGATGAAGAATACTATAAAAGCAATACCACAGGAAAGGTAAGAATGACATTTTGATTCTTTGCTAAACTTTAGTCTTCGTAATTGTTTCTCTTTATTTAATTAGTGCAATTTGAAAGAAATTAGATTTAAATGTCAAGTATGAGACTATAAACTTACCTCGATGGACTTAATTGAAAATTATGCCAAGACAAAATGTCAATGATTTAATGTTTAGGTCATTGTTTAATTCTGAATTATTAAAGAAGTAAGTTTATTTATCTTTAAACACCATATATATCAAACGAATGGACATTTCCGCTAAGCCCAGCCACTTACGTTGTTGCTTACTAAAGGTCCCCATAAAACAACAGTTACGTAAACATGTGCGTTTGGGACAACATTGTCTGATTGTTGAATGTGAAGTTTTGACACTTCTGAAAGTCTCAGACACTCAGAGTCTTACGTTCTTACTTTTAACTGTAATTCGTCTTATCTATTTAGGCCGATTTGTTGTATTTTGTTAATTATTTTGTATATTGCTTATATTTATAAAAATTTCAAAAGTGAACCAACAAAAATACAAAGTTGTGTTAACCACGTTAAAACATTTCAGAAAACACAAGCCCTCTTAATGTGGTGGATTATTCCGATGTAATGAAAATTACGCTATCCATGCCCCACTTCTGTTTTCTTTGCTATTTGTAACTATATATTTTCGTATTTTTATACAATACTGAGACTAATCGATATATTCTATGTAATATTACGTTGACCTGTAAATAGTCAGTGATGTATTCATTATTTATCATAACGTTTTTACTGATTACATCAATAAATTACTGATTACTGATTACGTTTTATTGATTGCATCAGATTACTGCAGCCTACATAGACTTCATGACGAGTATGGCAACGCAGTTACGACCAGACCACGACAGAGCTGAAGCTTACAAAAGTATGCTGGAAGTGTTCCAGTTTGAGCAACAACTATATGAGGTTTGTCACACCATGGAGGTATTATTGAGAAGGAGATCACTCGGCAACAGATCCCTTTGACGCGACAAACCTATGTGTTCCCCGCTTTTGGATCGCGCGCGGGCGTATTACTCTATAATTCACACTTTTTCGTCTTATACACTTGGCAACGACATGCATTTATACGCTTCCAGCAGAGCAGTTGTGCAATAAAACGTTTGATTTTAACCCATTAAATATCTTTATAATGAACAATGTTCCCCTGATTAGATTTTTTCGGGCTTTTAGTATGTTATTATTTGTATATTTCAGGAACGGATTCCGTAAAATATTTATGTTAAAATTACTTCTGTGTTCATTATAATTTTGTCTAAAGATTGACTGGTTCGACTATAAAGCTAAGTCAGTGTAAAACTGAAAAATACTCAGATTTTGGATGCATTTTTCGAATAGTTAACCCTCGTTAACCCTAAAATGACTTGGTTTATTATAATCCTTAATCATTTATTAATTAATATCTGTTAAAATTAGAATGGGCGAATTTAGGCCAATTTATGAAAATTGAAGTTGAAATATACTATACTTTTATAGGTCATAAGAGACAGCTATACTTTTATAGGTCATGTAAATGTTCCATTAAATTCGAAACTTTTCTTGGTGGAAAATATTAATATGTTTGATATTTTATGAGAGATGAATGTATCAGCTTCAAAATAAAAAAGATTGCGCAGCCATAGGCTATGTTCAGACACAACGACTTACGCTAGCGTAACGTTAATCGAGTGGTG